TGCGGGGAACTCTGCAAAAAACGCATCTTCGCACGGGCAGCCCGTGCGTTGGCCAATTTTTGTTGATTGAATCGAGCTCGCGGCTAGACGCACCGGTTGTGTCGGCGGTTCACGTGACAGAGTATGGCGGTGCACTGCATGTAGTGTGACACCGCTGGAGGTATTGCAGGGGAGTTGCAGAAGTGAAGGTCGCGATGAGTGCTCAGATCAGCAGCGTGGATGATTCGGGGCAGCTGTTCTTTTGAAGGCTTACAATGAGTGGAAAATACAGAGAAAGGTTTGTAAAAATCTCAAACATTTGTCCCAGTGGTGATTTTTCTGCGTGTGCTAGTTCGTATGGGAAGCCCCAGGTGGTCACTGTGGCGGCCAGGTTTGACTGTCTGCTGGGATCTCGCGGACGATTGGTTGCTGTCACGCCGTCTTATGCGTTTTCTGCTGTGTAACAGTAGTGCAAAACGTATATTGTCACGGGGTTGTGTACGTGTGTGTGTGTGTGTGTGTGTGTGTGTGTGTGTGTGTGTGTGTCCGTAGCAGTTTGTTAAATTTAGGGGCGGCACAGGATTAGCAGTAGAGAGGTGGGATTGACGAGCAGGAAAACGAATGCCGGGATACCGGTAGGTTATACAGGAAGCTGCTACAATTTTTCGCGGGGAAGTATTGCCGACTGTGCAACGAATGAGTGGCTGCTTTTCGATTCAGCTACCAGTAACGCCGGGAACGGGGCAGCTAAGCGGGCGTAGCATCGAGGGCTGAGGCCAGGGAATGAGGGCGCGGTACGGCCGTGATCGAAATTTAGTGTGAAAGAAAGAGCTAAACTTTTCCTCACTGGGCCTCTGCTCGTGGCTACTGCCGTGTGCTTGTGGGCGCCACTTTAGATCTTTCACTTCCATTAGACTTTGATGATGGTTCTAGAAGCGCGCCGTATCCCGTCCCCGCTTCCTGGATGCTTCGCTTGCACAGCTATTTTGGCCAGTGTTTCTGAGCATAAATGCTACAGGATTTTTCATTTTGTTGTGTATTTTGTGCTGCAATAGTTGAACAAAGCGCATATTGTCAGACCATATGAGTTGTGTGTGTGTGTGTATATATGTAACTGTTTGTCCGTGATGCATTTGATCCGCGGTTTTCAACTCGGTGGTGCTAGGAAGTCGAAGTCTTAAGGTGGATTCCCAACCAGGATGTGATATCGCAACCTCAGATTCAGCCTAGGTCTCACGTGCGGCTACGCGAAATTTTTGGCGCCTAAAATAGTAACTTGGGAGGTACAAAAGCTATGAAGAATGTTTTTTGCCCGCGTGCGGCCTCGACTTAAATTCAGCCTTCACTTGTGCCTAGGTTTCGCGTGGCGACACGTGAAAGTTTCGGCGCGAAAATTATCAACTCGGTGGCCAGAAAAGCTAGGAGACTGAAATTTCAGGAGAATGCCCCTTGCTGGCGTGCAAAATCCAGTCCTCGCGCAGGCCTAGGTCTCAGGTGCGGATACGTGAGGGTTTTTGACCCAAAATCAATAATTTGTTTTGTTGCCAAGCACTGTTCGATAATGGGAAGGGGTCACTGGATAGTTGCTAAAGGTAAGTTAAATCACAAGCCTGTGAATAAATGCCACATCAGGTGTGCTAGTGCCGGAAGAAACGATAGTTGACATTTGCTGCTTTTCGTTAACTAGGGGACAGTGAGCAGCCGGGGCAGTCTGGGGGATTCTGCAATCGATGTGAATTTATAGGCTTCTGAGATTGGAGAGGATTTTGCTGCTGGAGAATGCTCACATCGATGTGGAAGCACTGCGGCAGTGCTGCAAGTTTGGTGAGTTCTTCCTCTCAGTTGAGACGTTGTTGTAGCTTATGCACCGGCATAGGCTGTGCATCCTTCCTGTCTTTGCAGGCTTCTGGTCACTTTTTGGAGCCGCTTCACAGTGCTGCTTTTTTTTGGCTTGATTCTCTTCTCCCTGTGCTGGGCATCGCTCCCCATCCTCTGTACACTGGCACATCGTGGCGAAGTGGGTGTAGCTTTGGTGTTACATCGTCTTTTTCCTGCTAAAAATTGGTTTAAATTTGAAGTCTTAATTGATCCTGTCATTCAAGCACACTGCAGGCATCCCGGACACGTTGCGGCCACTGTGCTGGCGTTTGTTGCTCGGATATTTGCCAGTGGAACGGCGACAGTGGGCATCGTACCTGCAGAAGCAGCGTGAAATCTATAACAGTCTTGTGGAGGATGTAATCGTGCATCCCGGTCAATCGTCCTCCTCGCCAGATTGCTCCGCTTCCGATGATCATGTTTGTAATCGTTTTGATCGCGAATTGATTTGCTCAACTTGACTGGCACTCATTAAATAGGCTTGCGGATGCGGCTTTTCGGGGTGGATTGGCGTCATCCGGAGTTTTGATGCATTCCAGTTCCGCACCGACCAGCCCAATGTCGCAGCAACAGCATCAGCAGCCAACGCTCCTTTTCCTCCTAATGCAAAAAAAGGCGAAAACATTGCTGAAATGCAGGCATATGTTAAGCCGTATAGCAACCACAATTGGTACAATTCTGATTACTTAACGATCCGAGCAAAAACGGATGATCGCAGCAGCAGCCCTGGTATATCTGGGTCTTCTGTTTTGCAGTTACCTCTGGGTAACAGAAATCATTTGCATATTTCTGTTGAAGTGCCAGTCTTTTGTTGCTAAAAAATATTCACCTCGTTTCTCCTTGCCACTCCAGTTATCACCAACCGTCTTCTCCAATTTCCGCTGCTTTTGCTTCACGCATGCCTGCGCAGCTGTTCGCCGCATGTGGTTTATTTACTACCAGCGGAGAGGTACTTCAGAGAGTCTAGTGCACGATCATTTCTTATGCCTAGGTGCAGGGCAAGTAAAATCATGCTTATGAAATAATTCCAAGCTGCTGAAATTGTTGTTTCAGCCGCTAAATTTAAATCCGGACAGCAGATGGAACAACTATTTCAAGGAAAACGAATTATTGGCGCAAATTGACAAGGACGTCCGTCGTCTTTGTCCAGAGATCGATTTTTTCCAGCGGATCACTTCCTTCCCGCATAGGTATACTGTATACTTTTTTGAGGTTCATCTGGTGCAGTATCAACAGTGTTGGACTTTCACAATTTGCATTTTTAAAATTGCTAAAGTTGCTCGGAGTGTCGAGCCGCCTCAGTTCCGTTGGTGCGCACCCGCTGCAGTTGGAAACTGTGTTCTCCTGGACTTGCATGTCTTCAATTCCCAGCGCCTCTGCCGCATACACCTATTCTCGTTTTGGAGGCGGTATAATTGGGGTTTTTTTTCGGGTGCCACGTACTAATTGCACATGATGCCCACTGGTTGTCCGCAAACCAAGCAGCTTACATTCCTCCCTCACCTAACCTTTCGCTTCTGCTGTATTAAATTTCAGTTCTGATGGAAGTGGTCTCTACCTTTTTTATACGTTGATCAGCCGAAGTTCCATCATGACGCAGTTTGCGAACTGTTAACGCAGCTTTCATTCTTAATTTACATCATGTGCTGATCCAGCTGTTGGTAGTCCTGTTACTCATTCCCTCTGTTTTGCCTGCGTTTTCCCTTATTATGCGTTTTTGCATATATGCAAATACGAAAACGCATATTGCAATGACCCCGGTGTGTGTGTGTGTGTGTGTCCGGGTATTTCAACTTGGCATGCAGACAAGCTCCAGCGCCAAAATTTTGTTGATGGGTTCCCCAGCCTAGTGTCACCCCAGGACCGCGGCACCAAACTTCACAAAGTCTAGGCCCCGCGTACGAGAGGGTGAAAGTTTTGGCGGGAAGATCGTTAACTCAGGAACCAGAAAAACTAGAAAGCTAAAATTTTAAGGTTATGTTCCCGTCCATATGGAACTCAAAGACTTCAAATTCAGCCCCCAGGTAAGCGTGTACCCGCGTATGGCCCTGTGAAACTTCTTGGCGCGAAAATCGCTAACTTGGGACCACGAAATTTGGGAGGCTGAAATATTCAGGGAATGTTCCCAGCTCACATACAGCAAAAATTTATCAGATTCAGTCTTCAAGCATTCGTTGTTCTCTCGTACGGCCCCGTAAAATTTTTTGGCGAAAAAATGGCTAACTCGGGAAATAGAAAAGCTTGGTGCTGAAATTTTAGGGGTATGTTCCCAGCCTCTGTCAAAGTTAAAGATATCAAATTCAGCTTCTCATTTACGAACCCATGAAATTTTTTGGCAGAGAAATTGCTAACACTAGAATCGGAGAAGTTGAAAAGCTGAAATTTTAGCGGAATGTTCCCTGTACAAGTACCGCGTAAACAATTAACTTCCCGAATTTCGAGGACCAGTATTTTGCAAGTCCTGGCTACCGGATTTTCGACTCATTGCAGCACGAAATATTGCAAAAACACATGATCGCGTGGGCCTGCCCGATGCGCGTCGCCAGTTATTTTTCCTCAGAGAGAAGTGTTCGTACCTAGCATTTTTCATCATGCCTTGGCAGAGTCTTCAGCTCACCCATTATCGTTTTTTTTTTTTTTTTTTTTTTTTTTTTTTTTTT